GTTAGAGCAAAATAAAAATGCCATAAAACGAAGTATGTATCATTACTTTTGTTTCACTCATTATTATAGGTGAAAGCTTATCAAAAACTAGACCGGATGTTATTCTGCTCGAAGTCAAACTGTTCAGGCGTTGTGAGGATTCAAAGTGCCCAGAAATATCACCTTTCAAATGCCCTTAATTCAAAAAGAATTCAAATAGACCAACAGTATGTTCCAAAAAGTATGTAAAATCTGTCACGAAATCAAACAAAAAAAACCTAACATAGTTGTATCCCAGTTTCTTGCGAAACCTTGTTATATGTCCGCTATTTTTATAAAAATACGCTATTTTCCTTGCAATTGGTACAAAAAGTAAATTTGTATTTCAAACAATGAAAAAAGAGACGTGCACAATTTCTAATCAGTAACCCTGTACAGTCAACGGCTACTTACAATAACTCGGTTTTATTTATGAAAAAACTTATTCAGAACTTACTTTGAATGCACAAATCTTGTTCGTTCTGAGTGGTTCCAAGTCGTTCATATTTAGGAACTTTCAGGAAATCAATGCAACTCCTGTCCTTTATATTGAGTGCATTCAACATAATTTTTGTTTTTCTGTCCATATTATCTGAAATTACCAAAGCAATGAATACAGCTAGAATCAATAAAATTGGAAGAGTAGTTTGACACGTTGTTATTTGATTGGGATTTTCTTTATTCAAAAAAGTTTTTAATCTCTGTTTGGCCAGTTCTATAGTATTCTATAGTATTTATCTTCCATTAGCATATTTTTAAGGAGACATTATGAAACATTGCATTCAAACTGACGGCACGACTTCTAAATATCGCTCAATCGGTCGAAAAAATATTTATAATTGGGGATGTATGTGATCAATAAGACCGAGCATTACACTTTTTAATACCTGAGAAGTGAAATTTAGTATCCTGATGATCAATTAGCTTTCGTGCAGCATTTTGTTTTAATGTTAGGAACATTTTTCAGTCTAATTAATGACATACCCAGAAAATTAATTATTGACTTCCTATCCTTTACTGAATAAACCAAGAATGAATTGGTACTGTCAATGTCAAAGTGAATATCTTCAAAGTACTGAAAAATTCTCTGTATTTATCCATTTTAAAGTTATTATGAGTTTACCAATCATCAACTAAAGTGGTTCGGATGTTAGTTCGAACACATTAAGAGTGCTATTGAGGAAACCGACAGTGCCCGCCATGAAGCCTCGCAAAGCTCCCCGACACTGACAAGCTCCATGGATCAAGTGTCAAAAACAGGGCCATTGATGTTGAAAACCCTTCATAACTATACCTGAAGGTACCGCTTAGGCCGTAGACCCAAACGGCAATGTCTCACTAGCAAGAAAGTCAAAGAAAAAACGATTCAAGAAAATATACACGGAACCTTTAGCATTGTGACAATCATAGTTTCAGTTGTCACTTTAACAGGTATATCTCTCCTTTGTACACTATTTCCTCAAGATATAAATACTATGACGAATTGGACGAAGCATAATGTTGAGGTAGCCACTAAGACAAATAAGAACACACCAGAGGTTATAATTGGAACCTCTGAGATAATAGAAATTGTTGAGAAAGAATGTGAACACCCACGAGAATGCTGTGAAAAAAAGGTACTTGTCCAGCAGAGGGCGAAGCACCAGATTCAGATACACGCCATGATGGATTCGAACTTTTCCCAGATAAAAAGAGGAAATGATCTGCGAGGAAGTTAAGATTAAGTTGATGCTGAAGAAAGCTAAAATACAAGTGGACTCTTCTGATCTTGATAGGTGGTAGACGGTCATTGATCATCGTCGTTGAGGCACCACCCTCGGTTCTCTTAGGTGGGGCCTGAATGTGTACGCATGCTCCCTCATTAGAGTACGTGTGACGTTTCCCCTTTCCACTGTAGTCTCACGGCACCCACGGTGTTTAGGCCTTAGGCCTGCGTAATGACATGTATAAATAGCCGGTTAGAAAACACTTTTTTAATATTTAATCATATGATTATTTACAATATAAATAAATATATTAAAGTATAAGTGTATATTGAGGTCTTTAGAACGTTTGTGTTTTATTTTTGTAAATTGTTTCTAAACCGTAAGAAAATATATTAAATTTTATAGCTGAAAAATCTGCCGCGAAACGGCAAAACGTTCCAACAAAATGAGGTTAGTTTCATTATCTGAATGTTAATCCCAGAAAAGTAACAGAAATATTGAGAATATTTGTTAGGAATTTCACTAATATTAATTACATATACAATAAATAAATATTTTCATACTTACCCACAATAAAACCTTGAAACCGATTGAGAAACAATTAATTAGCACATGTTCGAAAGGAAACCCGAAATAGGAAATAGAACTAAATGGAACACTGCATCATAAGACACAGCGAGTTTAGGATGGACGCTTGGAAATCGATAGGCTAAAAGTATAATATACCCACAATCAAATCTTAAAAACGAATGCAGAACAAATAATGCCAGTCGGTTATTAGCAGGTGGTCGGAAAGAAACCTAAAAATAGAATTAAAGGGAATGCTGTGTTGTCAATATTTGAAATTTAGGGTGGACGCTTAGAAATCGACAGGTTAAAAGTATAATATACTTGCCAAAATTTTCAACAGTCGTATCATGCGCCTCTATAGGCGAAAGCGTTCAACTTATAATATACCACTACTATATAAAAAAGCAGGTTGTGGTATTATCCGGGCGCCCGTACAAAATTTTAATGGACGATTCTAAACACACTTTGGATACAAAATCTATGGGAAATCAACCGGGCGTCCATATACGGACGCTCGGTTGAAGTCGGACGCTTGCAAGATAGCAAATCGGCAATGTATGGACGCCACGGAGTTAGTGGGATGTATATATATATATATATATAAATATATATATATATATATATATATATACAGGGTGACTTTGAAGTTGAGTCATTAATTTTCAGATAATGATTGTAGAAGGAAGATAAACCAAAAATGTAAAAATGTAAAAATAAAAAAAAAATAAAAAAAAATGTTACCTTGTTTTATAAAGTATCCTCCCGACAAGTATTTCAGTGCGGACCTGTATTTGATCGTGAGGTCCCCTGTGAGGTCTTAAGTCACCTGATTCACGAGCCCGTTGTACTACATTAACAAAGGCACGAGGGGTTTGTTGCACTCGATTGGGAAACCGATCCGCATAAACATGTGCCATTTTTTATTTCGTTTGAGCCACGCAACAGACACTATTCACACGCGTTACCGACTGACACTGACTGTATGTATAACTGAACTGAATAAAATAATTGTAAAAACATTGTTCCAAATTCTTTCGCTTTTTTGTTTCCGATGCGATGAACCGATAAGGCGGATTATATCCGTTGTTGCCAAACACGAGCACATGATATTATTATTGAGACAGGGCGGTACTCAAACTTCCAAAGGGCTATAACTTTGTTACTTTAATTTTACCAGAAAAATGGTAAAGGAAAAAAACATTTCTTTTGATCAGATCTACTCACTGTTAAAATAAATGACTCAACTTCGAAGTCACCCTGTATATATATATAGCACATAAGCATTTGGACACTGCTTTAGAACTGTTAAAAATTATGAATTGGTTAAATGTCAATAAACTTAAATTAAATACTAATAAAACAAAATGTATGTCAATAGGGAAACATTTAGGTGGCAATACAATTAGGCTCATGATTAATGATGCAAAAATTGAAGTAGTCGAGTCATTTAAATATCTTGGTATATATGTGGATAGTAAGCCACTGTTTCACAAATATTATGAATACATTATTTCAAAAATATCGAAAAAGATAAATTACTTCTATAGAGTTTCTTATAATCTTAGTATGTATTCCAAAAAAATTGTGTATAACACTATAAGTCTTCCCCATTTTTTATATTGTTCAACCATATTGTTTAAAGCAAATGAAAACATATTTTCAAAATTACAAACTCTACAAAATAAAGCTATGAGAATCATTTTAAATAAAAACAAATATGCTAGGATTAAGTCTATGTTAGAAGAACTGCAGTGGTTGAATGTGAAAAATTTCATGTATTATTTAATTCTCGTTTTTATATTCAAATTAAAAAATCATTTATCATAACTACGAAACTAGACACAGTATAGATTTTCATCAGCAAAATTGTAATAGTAGCATAACTAATTTAATAAATTGAATAATGATATTAAACAGAGTTCGAATTTAAAAATGTTTAAGGTGAAATTAAAAAATCACTTTATGAATAATGAAAATACATAGTGACGTAATTTTAATTTTAATAGACAAGAATGTAAAATTACAGATAATGGATTGAAGAAAAATATGTAACCGAATCATTAGACAAAATTGACATTGTAGCAATAATGCTGTATAAATCTTCAACAGCAACAACGCATTTTATCCGTCCTCTTGAACAGCTTGCATTAATATAACCAAACTTTACAATCATTTCTGGGAAATTTGCTAATATGATTAGACTATGACTTCAACCCATTTTCAATGTCAACCGTGATATCCTAATCTTCACAAACATCGAATCAAATTGATTATGTAATGAATAAGAAATGGGAACGAATATTTTTCAATTATTTGAACTTTAGCAATTCATGAACGAAAATTTCAGCAAATGTCCATGATTGTTTAAATTTCTTTGCATTCGTATCAATGGATGGCGAGCTCAATATTAATTTTTCAGAACGGAATATTTAAATAAGCACAATGTCTAGAACTCACTCTTATCCGTACACCTTATTTATCATGGAATAAGTTTATTTCCTTCGTGATAGCGACTGGACAGCATGTTTTAGTATTTCGTCATTTTTCAACAATAATCATTAGGTCTTGTAGTTGGTTGAAACATTGGAAGATATCGTTTATATACATTATAAAGAACAATAGACCTAGGACCAATTTTTTTAAGTCTAGCATTCTGTCTTTGTGTCGTGTTACATGTTATGCATTACAATTTGTAATGATTTCCAGGTCTGACCTGTACATCTTGGTCGTGAACCCCAAAACCCAAATCATCCTGCCAGTGCCGAAAGTCCTGAAAACCATTGACTCCAAGTATGACTTTCTGAAGGACTATTACGCCGGCTTCGCAATCGAGAACGTTCTGCCTGCCTTTGTTACTGAAAGGGCTGAAAGCTTCGATGCGGCCCTTGTTGTCCTCATTGCACTGCTCATTGTGCTGTTTGTGGGTGTGGTGACGTTCATAGTCATCTGTTGCTGTCTTAGGCACTGGGTCATCTCACCGACTGATCTCAAGAAGAAGGACGCGCTTATTAAGAAAGCAATTATCGATGATCTCAATACCACGGAAAATCCTCTTTGGATCGAACAGTGAGTTTATTATTTTTAATAGAACTAGTTACATATATATCGAGTACACATTGGAAGACATTTCTCAATTACCTCAAAAAGTTCTGAATGTAAAAAAGTATATTTATTTCTAACGCATGCCGTTTCCGTCTAAAGGCACGCATCCACAAGACTGCTTTGTATGCATCAGACTATTCAAATGTATCAATTTATGGTGCCTCGATTTGTTGTAGGGTTTTCAAAACTATTTTGATTCTCATCTGTGGTCTGCGTAACTTTATACAGTGTGTCTCACGGGAACAGTAATCGATTGTTTTATTTGTAGGCATTAGACAACTTCGAAAATGTGAGGGTTTTGGTGAAATTGGGTTGTAGGTGGAGTAGATACCAACTTGCTTATTTTAAATGGGTTATCATTCCATTTTTGGATTATCCGCAAGATTATAAATACATTGGATGTAATCATCCTATAACCTACACCTAACCGTTTTTGAGCTATCTGCATTTTTGGGCAAACAATCACACCAGCAAGCTGATAAATAATTTCACGATCAAATGAACTTACCTTAAGGAAGTTCGATCGAAATTATATGAGGCGTCCAGTCCAAAGATGTTTATTATTTCACCACGTAGTCCGCCCTATCGTGCTAGCAGCTACAAGGGTTTAAAGCAAAATCCCCCTCTCATGTTACGCTCATGTCCCTGTACATACAGCTATACTTCCCTCCTACAATCATTTAGTTGAAATTATTCCGTTTGTTCATAACCCATCAGGGTAGGGCCTGGGAGGGAGCTTACATCTTTGACTGGACGCCTCATATAATTTCGATCGAACTTCCTTAAGGTAAGTTTATTTGATCGTTAAATTATACTTCGGCGTCCAGTCCAAAGATGTTTATTATTTCACCACGTAGATGTTTAAAGATGTGTGGCTTATGACACAAACGGAAGGGGATGCTTTTGAGTTCTTGCGATAAAGTACTTACTCTGATAAATGAGATAGATAATGATAGTATATTCAATAAAACAGTAAGCTATACAGGATATAATATAAAAGGAAATAAATGATTATTTCTATACATTCAAAACCTTTAGTGCAAACTGGTCTCTATACATTAGAGGCCGCTTATAAAATTTTGCAAAGGTTTCAAATTCTTACTCCAGCCCGCTGAATCTCTGAGAACATCCGACGGAATCCAGGCTCTGCTCATGGAGAAAGTTGTCGCTTGCCGAATTGAATGCGACTTGAACATGCTAGTGTCCATACCTGCCATGTTAAGAGTCTTTCTCACCCAGCGACTCAAAGTTTGTTTGCATGCGATTCTGTAAGGTTTTTGGGTTGTGATTAACAAATACTCGTCGTTTGAATTCCTTAATGCAGCAGTTTCTGTAAGGTAGGATAGCAGACACTTGGCTACGCATAACTGAGGCTTGTCATTGAATCTTGGAAGTATCAAGCAAGGTTGTTTCGATCTGGGCCCCGATGTTTTGATTCTGTCATCTATTAGGATTTGAACACCGTCTTCAGTATCTCGTATATTGCAAATTTTAATTTTCGATATGGTCTGCAACCTCTGTCCCGTTGCTAACAATAATAAGCTTACAAGTTTTATTGGATATAGTTTCAGGGATGTTGTCTGATAAGCTTCCAAGAAGTCCAAGATTCGTTTGGGGTCCCAGAAAAAAATATATCTTGGCTGCTGTTATCTTATCCGATATATGCCCTTCATGAATCGTTTCAATATGGGATGATCCCCCGAGCTGAGCTGTCTGACAAGATCATTGATAGCGCAGATATGTGAGAGTTGAAGGAGCCAAGAAGACGACATTCATTCTTATCAAGAATGCGTTGCAAAAAGGTGATCGCCTCACTAAGCTGGGCATTGAATGGCAAAATATCCTGAGCTATGCAAAAGTCCCACCAAAACTTATAAGTGACTGCGTATTGTTTTATGTTAGCTTCGGACAAGGATTGCAGTGTAGTTTCAACTGCACACTCAGGAACACCCTGCATCCTTAAGGCTCGCTCAATAGTCTGGCCGCTACCAGAGTAAGGTTCTCCGCTAAAGGATGTCTGTCGTTGCTGAAAGGACAAATCAATATTCCACGATGCGGCTCAAAGAAACGAAGTTCTCCTTTGCAAACCTAATGAAAAGTGGATGCCATGCTTGGGGTGGCGTTGTCACTTATTATTTATTGTATCACTCTCAAACTTACGGCAACCGGTGGGAACGCATAGAAGTTCATGCTTTTCCAGAAAAGAGTAAAGGCCTCACATGTAGATGTTCCAGGATCCTTCAGTCATTAGTTATATCTTTAACATTTATGATTGTGTCAAGAATGAAACGCCCGGGATCAATAATAATGTACTCTATTCTCCTCTCCAAAATATTCTGCTCAAAATACCTCGCACATCGGTCGTAAAAACCACGCTCTTATCTTCTTCCGCGTTCTCCTTTCCCCGCCCTCTCTCGTCCGACACCACCGCCCGCATTCCTTGTCCCTTGGCTACACGGTAGTACCAGTGGCGCATCAAAAATGTATTTCTAGTTTGAAGATTCATCACATTCGGCCATCCTGCTGCTGTGTCTGTCCTCAGACCCAGAAAAATCAGCATCTATAAATAAACAATCAATCTAATTTATGATGTTGATGCTAAGTTGCATTGCAGTAAGGCTTAGGCGTGCTGAACTTTGAATGGTTATTCGAATTAATCAACCATCCCAACAGACACTGAAACGTATTAATTTTACACTGTTATGTTTGAGCTTTCACTTGAGCCTAACTTTAGCTGTTTTTCAATTTATTCTTGATTAGCATTTTGACTTACAATTTATACTCTCTTTTATTAATTTATAACAAAATATAATTAAAACTCTAATTATATTAATTTAACGGACAACAAAACGTCCCTAAGTAATTCTGTTGTATGAGCCTTCCTTCATCAAATTATGTTGTTGTTTGAGCTTACTCTATCTTAACAGACAACAAGACATCACGAAGCCACTCTATTGTTTGAGCCTACTATATCTCAACAGACAACAAAATATCATAAAACTGTTTTATTGTTTGAGCCTACTTATCTCAACAGACAACAAAACATCATAAAACTGCTTTTATTGTTTGAGCCTACTCATCTCAACAGACAACCAAAACATCATAAACTGCTTTTATTGTTTGAGCCTACTTATCTCAACAGACAACAAAATATCATAAAACCGTTTTATTATTTGAGCCTACTTTTCTCAACAGACAACAAAACATCATAAAACTGCTTTTATTTTTTGAGCCTACTCATCTCAACAGACAACCAATACATCATAAACTGCTTTTATTGTTTAAGCCTACATATCTCAACAGACAACCAAAACATCATAAACTGCTTTTATTGTTTGAGCCTACTCATCTCAACAGACAACCAAAACATCATAAACTGCTTTTATTGTTTGAGCCTACTTATCTCAACAGACAACCAAAACATCATAAACTGCTTTTATTGTTTGAGCCTACTTATCTCAACAGACAACCAAAACATCATAAACTGCTTTTATTGTTTGAGCCTACTTATCTCAACAGACTACCAAAACATCATAAACTGCTTTTATTGTTTGGGCCTACTTATCTCAATAGACAACCAAAACATCATAAACTGCTTTTATTGTTTGAGCCTACTCATCTCAACAACCAAAACATCATAAACTGCTTTTATTGTTTGAGCCTACTTATCTCAACAGACAACAAAACATCATTAATTTTTCTCCTTGTTCCAACAGATATTAAAGCAGATAAACTTTAATATTTGGACCCTCTTTAAGCAATATAACATTTTATACCTACCACGTAGTAAGATCCATGGTTTCATCTTATCTGCAGCAACTACAGTCTTATATCTCTTGTAGTTTTCTCTCAGGTCAACCACCTCGTATCGATCGTTATAGAGAACCTTCGTCACTTTAAAAGGTCCCTTATATTTCGGCACCAATTTTCTGCTGGCACCAGTACACGGTGCATCCGTCTTCAACACCATGACGACATCATCCACTAGATACTTTTTAGCTTGTATCCTAGTCTGGTCAAACCTCTCTTGCTGCTTTTTCTGCTCTACAGACAATCTGTGTTCACCAGATTTCCTAAGTGCCTTCAAGTCACCCCGCTCTAGCTCTCGTTTCACTGCACTCAAAACATTGCCTTCGGATAGCCTATGTCCCTTGAATCCAGCCAATAACTCCATTGCAGTCATTCCAATTGCAGCATTAAAAGTTGTGTTCATCGCATATTGCAGCGGTTTGACAAACGTATCCCATTTGTTTTCAGCAACGCCTGCCGATGCAGCTGTTTTCTTTTTAACAAGTACTACTGGACTAGCATACTGAGAGCTAGATTCACGTACGATACCATTAATGAGTAACTCTTGCAACAAATCATTTAAACTACTTTTTTCTTGAATTGACATGCGATAAGGGTTATAAATGACTGGTTCCTTCGTTTTACATTTAATACTCATTTGTACTAAATTGGTTTTTCCTAAATCCTTTAAAGTAAATGCGATCGTGTCGCTATACTCTTTTAAAAGACTATAAACGTTGTCCTTTTCTCCCTGAGAAATATTACCAAAATTTATTTTATCATACTCAATTATTTTCATAGTACCCTGTATATCGCTCACGGTAGAAACATTTTTAAAACACAAGGTGTCGCCGGCTTTATACATGACACATGTGGCTGATTTAAATAATCGCAACCAATAATCACATCATAAGTTAAGTATTTATCCGCCAAAACGAACGCATTTACTTCGCCGGTTGATTTGTCGATATTTACATTGATTTTGCTTATTGCGTCGCAAGATATCATATTACCCATAAAACATCGTAGTCCTACACGCTCATTTGTTCTAGTTAGCTGCATCTTTAAACGTTTTGCTAAAGACTCTTTAATTATTGTGCAAGAACTACCTGTGTCAATTAAACAATTTTCAACTGGACTTTGGTTTATATAAGCGGTAACTAAAGACATATTATTCTTTCTGTTCATAATTACAGACTTCGTAATCTGATTACATTCATTTTTCTTGCTTAGTCTACACTGCTCTGAATAATGACCAACCTTTTTACAATTTTTACACGTTATTATAGGCTTAGAACAAGTTTTTACAATATGTGGACCTTTGCAATTATAACACGATAGTACTCTGCGTTTACTGCCATACTTTCCTTCCAATTTTATCACCTCTTGATTAACTTTTGACGTGCCTGGAGTCGGTTTAGCAGCAATATGTTTTTGCCTATTTATATCTATATTACTATCTAAATAGTTAGCCAACGTAGAGTAAGAATCAACCTAGTTTGGTACACCTACGTCACAGCCTACGTCAGCGCTGCAGCGAGACGTATGTCGCACATCAAGCGAGAGAACGGGGTTTATTCGGGGTATTCCAGTGGTGTAGTTGATTTTATAAATACATGCTGGTGAGATTTAATTGTTATATTTTTATAACATTCATTCAGATTCCAATAATTTCTTAAATTTTGCATGGCATTTGTTATTAGTATTATTTATATGAATTTGTAGTTGGTAAATATGCAGTAGGTATGTGGATTTTTCTTATTATAGTTTTTATTAGGTAGGTAACAATTTATGAAAAACTGTAGGTCTATAAGCATTACAAAATTGCCAGCGGTGTAATGAAAAGATGTGTTTTTAAGTTTTTCTTACCCCAACAAACATACGGGACCGTGGAGTAAAAGAAATCACAAAAAATGAATAGAAATTTTATAAAAACACCGTATTACAATGTTTTTCGAGAATTTTTCTATAAAATTTAGGAGAAAAAAAACAAATCTTCAGATGAATTCAAGTATAAAATCGTTATAATAAGAAAAATCTGTTTACTGTTGTATAATTACATAACCTTGTTGCACACCAGATTTAAATTGTTTTTTTTTTTGTTAATTACATATTTACATCACATCGTCATTTTGTTCAGAGCTGTCCGATTCAAGGATTGAACACCCTAGTTCATCCTCTGATGCCGCCTCATCGTCATCCCAACCCTCTTCACTCTCCTCAGATGAGCCTGTATTAAGAGTGAACACTAAATTTTTTACTGCTTCATCTAAAAGGTGTTCTTTTTCTATGAGTTCATTCTCATACTTTCTTACATGTTGGCAAATATTGAACCACTCTTGTTCTGTCACCTCCTCAAATTTTTGTCTGGCCAGCGCCTCAGTATCAGGCAATCTAAACGTGGTATTCCGCGCTGCAACCCAAAGCCCATATTTTTTCAATGAGGTTTAGTTCGGGATGATACGGAGGTAAACGGAGCACACAATGACCATCTTTTTCTAAAAGCTCATCTAACCTATATTTTATGGGAAAACGAAATTTATTTTCAGAAATAATTTTATATAACTCTGGTTTGGTTAATTTTGGGTCTGCTGGAATTCCGTTTGTTTCCAACCAATTAATCATTTCCGCTTTCCTAGTAGCCGTCGTAATATTTTTTTTTATAGGCACGTTATGGTACGATGCATTATCTACAACTAAAACAGACCTCTCGGGTAAGTTTGGTAATAGTTGTCTCTCGACCCATGTCATAAAATTTTTTGAATTCATTTCGTTGTGATAGTCACCAGTTTTCGTTCCTAAAATAAAAATATATGTACTCTAAAAATATATTCCTAAATAGATTAAGTAAACTAAATTACCTGATTTAAAGATAAGTAATCCATTTACGATACCCAATAATTTTTTTTAAGAATTTTATACGCTTAGCGCGTATGTCATAGGATTCGCATAAAACTTTTCGTTTATCTTGCATTTTTTGCCACTTAAATCCAATTTTTTTCAAAAGTCGGCTCAGGGTGCTTATGCTTAATTCAGCGACGTCTTCTGATAATACACCTCGATCGAGGATCTTTTGTCTAATACCTAAAATAAAATTAGAGCTTATTTCAGACATTCTAATAGACAAAGATTCTATGCAATCTACCGGGTGAGTATATTTTAGAGAATATAGTTCAGAAACTCCTGACATGGAGAAAAAGGTACCAGAGACAATCTTTCAATTTTAATGCTTACCCTTTAATGTCGGTAATTTTTTTCCATCATGTAAAAATTGTAGATTATTTCTCTAATACTTTTAATCTGGTGAGGTGTGAAAGAATCCAATTTCCATTTCTTCATATTTTTCCTTTTTTTGGGACTTGAAAAGAGGTACTTGGTCCTTGCAAATCCTTTTTCTTAGATTCTTTGCAAATTCTCTGGTAGGTATTCTTTGATACCCCAGTAGCAGCCAATACTCTATCCCTAAAATTAATTTCCTTCTAAATATTATATTAAATTTAAGGAATCTAATATGATTATTTCGTAGACAAATCATTTTTAATTTAATTCTCGACACGGAATTTTACTTAATTATTATTTACAAAAAAAAATAATAAAATTTTAACCATCTACCTTTACTTTCGGTAGAAAAGTTGAAAATAATAATTACATAGATTTGGGACACGCTGTACATATCATGAAAATAAACTTTGTGAAAGCTTTCAAAATACTGGAATTGTGTATTCTTATTGATTAACATACCTGTAATTTGTCAAAGGAATGCTAATCCCTTCTTCAGCCTCTTTTTTCATGAACTTAATAATATTGTTCACAATTTCACAGCTTTGGCTGTGTAAAACACGACCCCGTCCAAGTTTTTTAGGTGCCATATCAATATTATCAATATAAACACACACACACACACGTAGTAATATCTTAAATAAATAGTCACAAATAATTTCAAATTAATACCAAAAAACAAACAAACAGATAAAACGCCGGCGATCTTTCGGGAACAAAACAACTGGCAACGCTTTCAATGACGAAATCAATATCCTTATGGATGTTGACCGAACGATTGCTCAGGCAGTACTGCGAGAGCGTTGAATATTGGGTGATATGCATAAAGGCGAGTGGGTTCTCAGAAGTAGCTACTCCATATTGTAGCGAGTAACTACTCCTGTTAGGGAGAGCATACTCGGTTTTGATATGCATAAAATGTTTGTCGAGAAACGGAGAGGCTACTCAAGTGCTAATGAAATACTTGAGTAGGCACTCTGGTTTTCGAGTTCCGACTTGTATTTTGTTGTCTCGTCGAATTGGCAATTTCTCTATTGCGAGCAGTTACTACTGTATACCGGTAAACGTTTGTGTCGGTGGTGTTTAGGTCGATTATACCTATTCTGAAGACCATTCATCTGAAAATTAAACAGTATTTGTTAATATAATTGAACAGTATCCTGTTTTGTTGGAAAAATCTAACATCACGGAAATCAAAAATAAACGACGTAAGGCGGCTGAAGAAATAAAAGAAAAGGTAGAAGCCGAATTAGGAGTTAAATATAACGAAGGGCAGATTTGTAAGAAGATTCAAAACATAAAAACCAGATTAAAAGCGAAGACAGACAGATATCAAACCGGAAACAAACCAATAAAATTGAAAGGATGGGAACAAGAACTGTTCAATTTCCTACAAGGAGAACCAAATCCTAGTATTGCTCGATTGCAATGTTAGTTGTATTTTTTTGTTTTTCCATACAGTAGGTATAAGATGTGATTGAGTATAATATATATACACATGTCAATAAATATAAATAGCATATATTTTAAATTGTCTCGAACAGCCGGTGCTGAAGAAGAAACAATCACCGAAGAAGCATCTGGAAGTTCAGGACCAGTACTGAAACCTACCACAATGAAAGCCGGACCCAGTAAGGAGCCTTCTAAAAAAAAAAGGAAAACGGATTAGTGGAAACTGATCAAGCACGAGATTTATCAATAACAGAGCTCCAACGTCTCGTTTTACTTGAACAAATACAAGTGTTTCGGCTAGCTAAGGAACTGCTACTTCACAAGAAAAATATTAATGAATCTGATCCAAATTTATCAACTTTAAATGAAAGTGCTGAAACTGGCAATCCAATTTTCATGAGCCTATTTCCAGGACAGAACTGACAAAAGTACTTCATGTTTCATAAATGTTATTTTTTATTAATTTTAAGAACTTTCTCTTAAGTTGCCATTTTGAAAGTGTTATTAATTTTGTTATGAGTAATTAAACATCGTTCTTCAACGTATATCTACATAATTTGTAAATTTGGATCATGCTAGATACTTAATTAGACCCGACAGCCATGAATAATTCTTGATATTGCATCTCTTCTAAATTGACCTCTCTGACGTATCACTCCATCTGCATAGTCAGCACTATGTTGATTATGGATTTCTTCTTGTTCGCCATCTCCTGGTATATCAACAGCAAAATCTTCATCATTAAGGTGCTTATGCAAGATAAAACAACTCATGACAAGGGAGGGCACTTTTTCTGTATCGACGCGTATTTTGTTATGTGGAATGGGAAATCGCTGTTTTAGTTGCCCGAAACATCTCTCTATTATAACTGGCTCTCTCGTAAACAGCCGATTGTATGATCTTTGTTCTGCTGTTTCTGCAATCCTAAAAGGAGTCATGAACCAAGGAGCTATAACATACCCAGAGTCTCCCAACAAAACAGCACTAGCCCTATTCCATTTCATATATCAGAATTCTTCCATATCCGAGAGTCGTGTACAGATCCTGGCCAAGAAACATCCACACTTGTGAACTCTCTGTTTGAATTGCACGTTGCTTGTACATTTATACTAGCAAAGTTCTTTCTGTTCACATATTCGTCTGCATGAATAAACGGGTTCAGAATAGGTATATGGGTGCAGTCGATAGCACCAATAGCTGAAGGAAAATTGAACTTTTCTTGCCACTCATTTTTAGCATTAAGCAGATCTTCACATGTGGTTGGGAATCTAATCCAAATGTTCGACTTCTGCACAATGCGTGTTATAACGTTGGAAACGGTTCGGGATGCCGTAGATTGATGGACACCAATAGCTTCTCCTATGCCAATTTGAAATCCTGGATCAGCCACATATCGTAAAAAAACCTCATTCTTTCTATATTGCTCAAAGCACCGCCCCTATATTCTTCTGCCGGTCCAAGAAAATGGTTACTTATCCACTCAACATTAACTTTACTAAACCGATATAAGGCCCAATAGTCTACTTCCTTTAATTCCCTACGATCTTTAAACACCTTCGTAGGCTGATAAGTAGGCATAAATTCGGCCATTTCGTCCACTTCTTATAAAGCTGAGTCTACTACTAAGGTATCTCGCATTTCTTGAAGTATGCACTCAGCGGTCAGAGTGGACGCTCACTTTTATGCATATAAAAATTGAAGTCGGCACTCAAGGAGCGAGTACAGTCTCACGGAAAGAGTAGAAACTTATGAGTGTGAGCTTCTACTTACATTTTTATGCATATTAAATGGAGTGGCTACTTTAAAAATGCGAGTCAAAAGTAGCCACTCGCCTTTATGCATATCACCCATTATGATATTTGAACCTCGGGGTTGCCAGCTCATTTCGACATTCATTTGCGTAACAATATTAATACAAAACAGCAGTGCACGCCTGTGAAGTTATTCCGCATCGATCTTAGAACAACTAAACAGACATCGCACTATATTTTCTCTTTGTTGCGTGTGACGTAGGTGTACCAAACTAGGATGGTTTTTACTCTACCTACTGATTGAAAATTCGCAGCTCTAGCTGCTAGCTTTATATTTTTATTGTTTATCCCTTCAGTTATACAATCTATAATATCTACATCATTAAGATGCAAATTTAATTTTGTCATTTTTGCATGTTTTTCAAAACAATATTCACTGAATTTTTGATTAGGTAAATGCCCATAATTTGCTGTCTCTTTAAAACAATTTTCCGAAGTTCCTAGTCGAAGGGAATATTTCTAAAAGCATCACTTTCATATTACACCATCGAGTACAGTGATTGTTTAACGAATCATACCGTTTCCGAACATTTCCACGAAGTCTGCTTGTTGCTAATTTAATTGTCAATTGGTCATCTCACTGGTATAACTCACGCAACTGATCAACCTTGTTGACCCAGTCTATACATTGTCTATTTGAGGGGTTAAACTCCGGTATTAGCGATTCATCGATATTTAAACTACTGTATGCAGTACTTACAGGTTGCTTCTCTAACAACTTGTTTTTGAATTTGAGTTCTTTTCGTAAACGTTTTACTCGCCTACGATGTCTCCTTCCATCGTCCGTCGAAGAACTTGAACTGGACTGAGAGCTAGAGGATGAACTAGAAGAACTACGCCTTTTCGTCTTCCCCATTTTGACTCACTCACTTGTAGAACTTGTACGGCACGTGAATAATTCCACTTCTGATTTGTCAAGAATGAAACGCCCGGGATCAATAATAATGTACTCTATTCTCCTCTCCAAAATATTCTGCCCAAAATACCTCGCACATCGGTCGTAAAAACCACGCTCTTATCTTCTTCCGCGTTCTCCTTTCCCCGCCCTCTCTCGTCCGACACCACCGCCCGCATTCCTTGTCCCTTGGCTACACGGTAGTACCAGTGGCGCATCAAGAATGTATTTCTAGTTTGAAGATTCATCACAATTGTTTCCGACTGCAGTTATCTGGATTCCTTGTCAGCCATTCAGATATGTTTTGTAGTGATATAGGAGGCATATATCCATATGCCCCGAGTCTAACACCTAGTAGCTTCATCAGATCATTAAATTTCACGTGCTTTACGCTCCCCATGTGGATGACATAGGCAACTGCAAGGTATTACCGCATCTTATCCAAACCGTGGCGAAACATTCTAGAGCTAAGAATGTCGCTTGCAACTTCAAAAAGTTGATATGATTATCTTTCTCGAATTTTATCCAACAGCCATGCGTAGTCTCCCCGTTACAACAGGCACCCCAGTCCGGAAGGGATGAGTCTGACAATAGTTCCAGCTCAAATGAATACTGCTTAATGTCGTTGTTTGCTGAATCTATATTATTCAGCCACCATGATAGATCAGCTTGTGATTATGTCGAAAGCAATATATTCGCATTGTAATCGAAGCTGTTTTCTAAGAGCAATTAGTTTATCCCTTTCGAAAGATATTGTATATAGCCATCCCTATTTTATGGCGGGACATGCTGAGAATAAAAGGTCTACGAACTGGCAAATTCACGAATCCTGAATATCTGTTTACCTAAAAAAGAAATGTATCGACCTCAAGATTTTTTGTTTCTTTTTGCAAGTTACCTCGAGCTTCTTTGTTTTAGTGTTAAACATGAAGCTCAAAAATTTGCAGGTTTTTGAAGGCAGGAGGGAACTTTTGTCCTGATTGATAACAAACCCGAGAGATTCCAATAAGTTCGCTGCGCTTTTGGTGTTCTGCATACAATTTTTGGCTGTTTCGCCGAGGATTAAGAATTCAGTGACTTACACATAAAATGCCCATGGATCGGAGTTTCTGTGCTACTGGCTTAAAAATTTCAGTAAATGTATAGGCAGCAGAGCTAAGACCGAAGGGAATACAGGTGAACTCAAATAAGTGGCCCTTAAATGTAAAACGCAAATACTTGCGAAGTTCCGATGCTACGGATATAAGAAAATATATATCTTTTAAATCAATCGATAATGGTTATTTTAAATTAACCTCAACACTGTATGTGTCCTCCATCTTAAAATGGGGGGGCTCAACAAATTTGTTGAGTTTTTTATTTTATTTAAGTTCATAATAAAGCGCTTCTGGCCGTTGGCCTCGTCAGTTAAAACGATTGTGGATAGGAATTGGCCACCATGTGGGAGACATGTCACAATCGCTCCCTTTAGCCGTAGGCTCACTATTTCGGCATTTATTAGGTGCTTTTCTGCAAGAGAGAAAGGGGATCTGGGTATTTCCTTATCGAGATTCTATAACCCTTAATCCACTGTAGAATAGTTCTATTTTGGGTTATGGTAGTCCATTTCTCATAAAACTGTGCAAGTCTACCTGAAAAATGATTATTAGCATTAATCTTACCTTATTTAGTTCCTCCTCCTGTATCCGTCCATTAGATTTGATTCTCGAGAAGTCTGCCCTTCTGAAGCCCTGGCGATCTTGGACTACGAGCAGGGCGATTCCGGTTTACAGGCAGGTGTTAGGAGACACTCATCCTTGCCCTCCCCACTGTTTCCTGATCGATTATATCTCATAGGCACAGCAGATCTCTGATGTGAGGATACAGACTTGGATGACTTAGTCTCCTTGCTTGTCGACCGTATCAACCTTGCTGCCTTAACAAGATCGCTGAGATCTAATCCAAACAACAGGTTCATTGGGAACGATTTTCTAGCAATTCCTTAGTATATTGGTTCATCTAGGGGAATGTAAACATACGTCGTGCCAGCGTCGAATCATGGAACAGACTAGATAAAATGCGCTGTGAATCTGATCGACTGAGTAGGACAGCATCTTTATAAATGCTAGGCCTGGATTCTGTGCATGACAGAATGCAAGGTATTGCCTTTTCCCAGTACTGAAATACCCGCTCCGGGTTTTGGGCTATGGAGTTATACTCTATGTTTGACAGTCCCTGTGAGATGATTTTGGACCATCAAGCGGCTAGCGCTGAGTGCACTTTGAGGTTATCGGTGTGTTTCTCACTTCAGTCGTCTCCAAAAATGCCCAATATATCCTCTAGTAGTTCCACGTCGTTATCCAGGAGAAAACCGAGCGAGAACGCCAACCCTACCAGAGAGACTCATCCGCCCGCCGACGGGACGGTAACGTCGATGGTGCTGGAGAGAGAAAAAATGTGGACACTGAGGGGCGGTGACGCAATCGGTCGCCGGGCATGCGCTCAGCGCGTGAACGCGATGTCGAACCTGTTTGTTTTTTATAAAATCTCTCCAGTTTTTTAAGGCGCTTTCGGTTTTCCCTATCAGTCTAGAACGCTTCTGCTTTTTTTCCTTTCCATATCTAGCTGCAATAATAAAGCGATTAAAGAAAATTTCGTCATTCGCCAAACGGTCGAAATTATGACTGAGACTGACCTAATTTGTAGAGACGGTTCATTGACAAACAGTAGTGTTTCTGTCTCGTTTTCGTTGAATAGTCGGTTTGTTTCAACATAATAGCCTCCGATTTCATCTCTTACCGAATAGTTCGTAAACTACAGGAAGAGAATGATCATCGGAGCACTCGTGCATGCCGTAGGTTGTTAAGGGATAACCAAAATCTATACTAAGTGACATATAAATCCGAACACCCAGTTTAAATGGTTTTATTTTAAAAAAAGTTGGTGAATGTATTTATCTTACTGTAAGTAACAAGTGAAAAAATTTTCAGCCTTAACAGTTGGACATTCCGGTTTTTATACTGCTTTTTTTTAATTCACTAACGCTCTAAAAATGAATATTTCAGCCGCAGTAAAGAATCAACTTTGGCGGATTTTGGTTCTTGACATCCTTTACGATCGGTTACGATGCCTAGAGTACGGAGACCTGTACGATTTCGTCAACTTAGTGAGTTTGATAGGGGCCGTATAGTGGGACTTCGGGAAGCTGGACTTTCTTTTCGGGCAATTGCAGTTAGAGTGCAAAGAAGTGTAGACACTGTGGTTATGTGTTGTCAGGCATGGCTTCGAGAAGGCCGTACGCAAAGAGCAAGTGGCACTGGACTGGACTGGACGTCGCCGTAGAACAACAGACCGTGAAGATCGCCGCCTAAGATTATTGGCCTTAAGGGACCGTTTCTCCACTACCAGGTCCATTGTAAATGAATGGTTTGCAGAACACGGAAGACCTATTGGCATGCGAAGTGTTTACCGACGAATGAGAAATTTTGGCTTGTTTTCATACCGGCCACACTTTAACTCGAGAACACCGACGTAATCGCCTTGAGTGGTGCGGACAACGGTTATGGTTTGGGGTGCTATAGCTTATAGTTCCAGGTCACCTTTAATCTTCATCAGAGGTAACATGAACGCGCAGCGTTATATCCACGAAGTTCTAGAACCCCATCTTTTACCCTATCTTGACACCCTGGCAGATCCAACTTTCCAACAAGATAATACCCGACCACATGTTGCAAGAGTCACAATAGACTTCTTTCAACATAATGATGTCACATTGTTACCATGGCCACCAAGATCTCCCGACTTATCCCTAATTGAGCACGTGTGGGATATGATGGGTAGGAGATTGCTCAATTTGCAACGTCCTCCTCAGACTGTAGAAACACTTCGAGAGGAGTTGGTGGTTGCCTGGAATGAGATACCACAGGAGGACATTGAACACCTGATCAGAAGCATGCCTAGGCGCGTTGGAGAATGCGTAGCACATCAGGGTGCATCCACACATTATTAAAGGTCAAAGGGCTTTAAGGCACTGCAATCATTTTCAAATTTTTATCATTTACTTATTATGCTTCATTAAGTACTTATACAAAATTTTATTAAAATAAAACCATTTGAACTGGGTGTTCGGATTTATATGTCACTTAGTATATTTCCTATTCCTGACCATTAGTTCAGAGTAACCGATTTTGGAATCATTGGATCAC